CGACTCCACCAACGACCACACCCACCGCCTCTACCACCACGCCGACCCCACCAACGACCACGCCCACTATTTCTACCACCACGTCCACCACACCACCAACGACCACCACGCCAACCCCACCAACGACCACGCCCACTGCCTCTACCACCACGCCAACCCCACCAACGACCACATCATGTGTGTCTGACTGTAAATGGACTGGCTGGCTGGATTCCGGTAAACCTGACCCTGTCCACACAGAGGGAGATGTCGAATTGATAGGAGATGTCTGTGCACCAGGCTGGGCAGCTAACATCTCCTGCAGAGCCACGATGTATCCTGATATTCCACTTGGAGAGCTTGGACAAGTGGTGGTGTGTGACGTCTCTGTTGGGTTGGTTTGCAAGCACCAGGACCAAAAGCCAGGCGGGATGATTCCCATGGGCTTCTGCCTCAACTACGCAATCAACGTTTACTGCTGTAATGTGTGTGGCTCCACTACAACCCCAGCCACTACAACTACCACCACCACAGAAACCACAACCCCAATACCCACAACTACTACCACAGAGATCCCATCAACACCCACCACCACCACAGGGATCCCGACACCAACACCAACCACCACCACCATAGAGACCACAACCCCAACCAGCACCACCACAGGGACCCCAACACCAGAACCAACCACCAGCACAACAGAGACCCCAATACCAACCAGCACCACCACAGGGACCCCAACACCAACACCAACCACCACCACAGAGACCCCAACCACAACCAGCACCACCACACTGACCCCAACACCAGAACCAACCACCACCACCACAGAAACCCCAACCCCAACCCCTACCACCACAGAGACACCAGTACCAACCACCACCATCACAGGAACCCCAACACCAGAACCAACCACCAGCACAACAGAGACCTCAACTCCAATACCAACCACCACCACCATAGGGACCCCAACACCAGAACCAACCACCACCACCACAGAGACCCCAACTCCAACCCCAACCACCACCACCACGGAGACCCCGACACCAACCTCAACCCCAACCATCACCACCACAGAGACCCCACCCCCAACCCCAACCCCAACTACCATCACCACAGAGACCCCACCCCCAACCCCAACCCCAACTACCATCACCACAGAGACCCCACCCCCAACCCCAACCCCAACTACCATCACCACAGAGACCCCACCCCCAACCCCAACCCCAACTACCATCACCACAGAGACCCCACCCCCAACCCCAACCCCAACTACCATCACCACAGAGACCCCACCCCCAACCCCAACCCCAACTACCATCACCACAGAGACCCCACCCCCAACCCCAACCCCAACTACCATCACCACAGAGACCCCACCCCCAACCCCAACCCCAACTACCATCACCACAGAGACCCCACCCCCAACCCCAACCCCAACTACCATCACCACAGAGACCCCACCCCCAACCCCAACCCCAACTACCATCACCACAGAGACCCCACCCCCAACCCCAACCCCAACTACCATCACCACAGAGACCCCACCCCCAACCCCAACCCCAACTACCATCACCACAGAGACCCCACCCCCAACCCCAACCCCAACTACCATCACCACAGAGACCCCACCCCCAACCCCAACCCCAACTACCATCACCACAGAGACCCCACCCCCAACCCCAACCCCAACTACCATCACCACAGAGACCCCACCCCCAACCCCAACCCCAACTACCATCACCACAGAGACCCCACCCCCAACCCCAACCCCAACTACCATCACCACAGAGACCCCACCCCCAACCCCAACCCCAACTACCATCACCACAGAGACCCCACCCCCAACCCCAACCCCAACTACCATCACCACAGAGACCCCACCCCCAACCCCAACCCCAACTACCATCACCACAGAGACCCCACCCCCAACCCCAACCCCAACTACCATCACCACAGAGACCCCACCCCCAACCCCAACCCCAACTACCATCACCACAGAGACCCCACCCCCAACCCCAACCCCAACTACCATCACCACAGAGACCCCACCCCCAACCCCAACCCCAACTACCATCACCACAGAGACCCCACCCCCAACCCCAACCCCAACTACCATCACCACAGAGACCCCACCCCCAACCCCAACCCCCCCTGGCCCCAAAACTACTACCACACAGACCACGACGCCAACACCCACTGTAACAGAGACCCCAACACCAACCCCCACTGGCCCCAAAACTACTACCACACAGACCACGACGCCAACACCCACTGGCACAGAGACCCCAACCGCAACACCCACCGGCCCCACAACTCCCACCACACAGACTACAACGCCAACACCCACTGTAACAGAGACCCCAACACCAACATCCACCGGCCCCACAACTACCGCCACACAGACCACAACGCCAACCCCCCCCGTAACAGAGACCCCAACCCCAACCCCCCCTGGCCCCAAAACTACTACCACACAGACCACGACGCCAACACCCACTGGCACAGAGACCCCAACCGCAACACCCACCGGCCCCACAACTCCCACCACACAGACTACAACGCCAACACCCACTGTAACAGAGACCCCAACACCAACATCCACCGGCCCCACAACTACCGCCACACAGACCACAACGCCAACCCCCCCCGTAACAGAGACCCCAACCCCAACCCCCCCTGGCCCCAAAACTACTACCACACAGACCACGACGCCAACACCCACTGGCACAGAGACCCCAACCGCAACACCCACCGGCCCCACAACTCCCACCACACAGACTACAACGCCAACACCCACTGTAACAGAGACCCCAACACCAACATCCACCGGCCCCACAACTACCGCCACACAGACCACAACGCCAACCCCCCCCGTAACAGAGACCCCAACCCCAACCCCCCCTGGCCCCAAAACTACTACCACACAGACCACGACGCCAACACCCACTGGCACAGAGACCCCAACCGCAACACCCACCGGCCCCACAACTCCCACCACACAGACTACAACGCCAACACCCACTGTAACAGAGACCCCAACACCAACATCCACCGGCCCCACAACTACCGCCACACAGACCACAACGCCAACCCCCCCCGTAACAGAGACCCCAACCCCAACCCCCCCTGGCCCCAAAACTACTACCACACAGACCACGACGCCAACACCCACTGGCACAGAGACCCCAACCGCAACACCCACCGGCCCCACAACTCCCACCACACAGACTACAACGCCAACACCCACTGTAACAGAGACCCCAACACCAACATCCACCGGCCCCACAACTACCGCCACACAGACCACAACGCCAACCCCCCCCGTAACAGAGACCCCAACCCCAACCCCCCCTGGCCCCAAAACTACTACCACACAGACCACGACGCCAACACCCACTGGCACAGAGACCCCAACCGCAACACCCACCGGCCCCACAACTCCCACCACACAGACTACAACGCCAACACCCACTGTAACAGAGACCCCAACACCAACATCCACCGGCCCCACAACTACCGCCACACAGACCACAACGCCAACCCCCCCCGTAACAGAGACCCCAACCCCAACCCCCCCTGGCCCCAAAACTACTACCACACAGACCACGACGCCAACACCCACTGGCACAGAGACCCCAACCGCAACACCCACCGGCCCCACAACTCCCACCACACAGACTACAACGCCAACACCCACTGTAACAGAGACCCCAACACCAACATCCACCGGCCCCACAACTACCGCCACACAGACCACAACGCCAACCCCCCCCGTAACAGAGACCCCAACCCCAACCCCCCCTGGCCCCAAAACTACTACCACACAGACCACGACGCCAACACCCACTGGCACAGAGACCCCAACCGCAACACCCACCGGCCCCACAACTCCCACCACACAGACTACAACGCCAACACCCACTGTAACAGAGACCCCAACACCAACATCCACCGGCCCCACAACTACCGCCACACAGACCACAACGCCAACCCCCCCCGTAACAGAGACCCCAACCCCAACCCCCCCTGGCCCCAAAACTACTACCACACAGACCACGACGCCAACACCCACTGGCACAGAGACCCCAACCGCAACACCCACCGGCCCCACAACTCCCACCACACAGACTACAACGCCAACACCCACTGTAACAGAGACCCCAACACCAACATCCACCGGCCCCACAACTACCGCCACACAGACCACAACGCCAACACCCACCATAACAGAGACCCTAAGTCCAACACCCACGGGTACGGAGACTCCAACCCCAACACCTGTCAGCACCCACAACGCCAACACCCACCGTAACAGAGACCCTAACTCCAACACCCACGGGTATGGAGACTCCAACCCCAACACCTGTCAGCACTACAACTACCACCACATTGATCCCAACCACCACACAGACCACAGCCCCAACACCCACTGGCACAGAGATCCCAACATCAACACCCACCAGCACCATAACTACCACTACGCAGACCCCAACCCCAACACCCAGTACTACTAGCATGGCCACCCCAGCTCCACCTGGTACAACCCCCATTCCCGAGTCAACTCCACCCACAGCCCCACAGGAGTCTTCCACCCCTCCAAGCTCTCAGTCTACCTCCTCCCCTCCCACTGAGTCTACCACCGTCCTGAGCACCCCGTCAACTATCCTGACAACATCCAGCACACCTCTGCCCTCCACACCAACAATACCAACAGTCACCACGACAGGTAAGCAGTCATGGGGAACCCACCCATCTACTTCCCTAGGAGAGCCTGCTTTGCCAGGGGAACTCTGCAGCTCCTCAGCTTCAAATCTGGGGCCTGACACCTTGTTCCTAGGCCCAGGAAGGCTTGAGGCAGGTTCAGCGAGGCTCCTCTGTCCGGAGCCTGGTCACAGCAACCAGGGGCTGCTGACTATTCCCACTACCCCACGGAGCAGCTCTCCTGGCTCATGCCCCTCAGCCCTGCTGGAAGATGCTTCATGGGTGGCCTGGCTGTGTGGGTCCAGGGCAGGGGTGGGCAGAGGCTGCCCTGGGAGGCTCTATCTCCCCCTCCCTCTTCTGCCTGTGCTCCCTACTTGGGTCCTCCAAAGGCAGCCTTGGGAGGGCTAGTCTGGCACCTCTCAATGGACCGGCCACCTCTTGTTGGCAGCAGACTCGGCCAGCCAGCTCTACAGCCCAGAGCCCTAGCTTCCCCTGTGGGTCTCCCTGTTATACACAACGTGTCTGCTGTCTCACCCACCAGGCAACACTGACAGCCCGGGAAGTGACTCATGTGGTCTGCAGCGAGCTGTCCGGCTTCCTCTCCGGGTGTACTGGTGAGGCCTCACCTATATGTTCTGTTCTTATAGGCATTTCCACCTCTTCGAAGACCACCCCCACCAGCAGAAGCACGACTAGGCCATCTTCACCCTCCATAGGACCCACTTCCAGCCCCACTCCTATCCCCACCACTGCGTCAACGACCACCGTGGGAACCCCTACCCAGACAGAACTCTCTGGGACCACTCCTACCACTCCAGAGACAACCAGCACCTCGGCCTCTAGGGGGCCCACCTCCACACTCTCCCCGATCCCTTCTCCTAGTGTCACCTTCAGCACAGGCCCGACGATCACCACCTCCACTCAGATTTTCTGCTGCTTTCTCAATGACACTTACTACGCCCCAGGTACCATGGGTCACTTCCAGAGCTAGCTGAGGCTGGTTTTGGCCCTGGCTACCAATGGGTCCAAACTGAGGGGAGAGAGGGAAGACCCAGTGGCTGTGTAACTGCACCCACTCAGAAAGCCGATGCCGGTGTGGGTGGCTGTCTCTGTGGCCAGCCCCACCTTGCAGGGAACATAAGCCAGAGGCTGGGGCTCCCCTGAGGTCAGTGGGTAAAGGGGTGGTGGGATGTCCAGCTGAGCAAAGTGGGCACTGTGGCCTTCCCTCTGGCAGCCTCCGTGGGGCTCTGTCCATGAGGTCCAGCAGCCAGCCTTGCCTCCGGGTGGTGTCAGGACTGGGTCCCTCTTCCTGCAGGTGAGCTGGTGTACAATGGCACATATGGGGGCATCTGCTATTATGTGAACTGCTCGCTGGACTGCAACATCCAGATCTTCAACTGGTCCTGCCCATCCACGCCCTCCCCAACGCCCACGCCCTCGAAGCCAGTGTCCACAACCTCGAAGCCAACGCCCACGCCCTCGAAGCCAAAACCCAGCACAACAAAGCCCCCTGGGTGCCTAGACTTTGATCCTCCCAGGCAGGTCAGTGGGTCGTGGGTGGATTTGTCCCCTTGGCTCTGAGTGCTCTGTGGTCAGGTGTCCGTGGTCTTAGTGGTCACAGATGCCCCGTCCCCCAACCTGCTCTGTCTCTGCGGGGCTGGTGCAGTCGACAGCCTCTCGTGCACAGTCTGTGGAGTCCGTCAGTCTGCCCGTGCCTCCTTGCTGTAGCACGACCGGATGCAGCGAGGCCCCAGGGTGCCAGCCTCTGGGCAGGGCTCTTAGGCTCATTCCTCCAGTGTGTGTGGCTAACTGCCCGTCACCCTCTGCCCTCAGGAGAACGAGACCTGGTGGCTGTGTAACTGCACCCAGGCCATCTGCAAGCACGACAACGTAGTGGAGATCGTGGAGGTGGAGTGCAAGCCCCCGCCCAAGCCCACCTGCTCCAATGGCCTCCAGCCCGTGCGCGTCATGGACCCCGACGGCTGCTGCTGGCACTGGGAGTGTGACTGTGAGAGCAGGAGCCACTTGTTGGCCCTTCCTCCCTTCTCTAAGGGCGGGGCTGCAGGGATGGGAGCAGGAGGACCGAAGCTCCTCGGGTGCAGACTCCAATTGCTGAGCAGCTGCCGAGCGTGGGCACATAGGCCCAGGGGCTCCTCACAGCCTCCGAGGCTAGAGAGGGAAGACTCAGAGTTTGAACTCTGGACCTCCTGGCTACTAATCCAGGACCTACCCTGAAGAATGGGCTGCTGTGGGCCGAGAGGGGAATGCACTTTTGGGGCTAGAATGTGAACCAGAGCCACTTGGCTAGATGCCCACGCGGTGCCCAGGAAGCAGGCTTGTCAGCCCCTCGGTTCCTGCTTGCCCTTCCAACCTGCCCCTTGATCCCGACCAGGTTCCTGCCTGGCCAGGACCCTGGCTCACTTGGAGTCCCTCTGCAGGCTACTGCACAGGCTGGGGGGACCCCCACTACGTCACCTTCGACGGGCTCTACTACAGCTACCAGGGCAACTGTACCTACGTGCTGGTGGAGGAGGTCACGCCCTCTGTGGACAACTTCGGCGTCTACATTGACAACTACCACTGTGATGTCAACGACAAGGTGTCCTGTCCCCGCACGCTCATCGTGCGCCATGAGACCCAGGAGGTGCTGATCAAAACCGTGCAGATGGCACCCATGAAGGTGCAGGTATGCTGGGCATGCCACGGCACCACAGACCCCTGCGTGGTGGGGCCCTGAGCAGCAGGGCACTGGGCTGGCTCCCCAGAGCTGAGCTGAAAGACTGGGAGAGGGAGAGGGCCTCACTCAGGGGTACATCCAGTTCTTGTCATGGGCCCTCCAGGTGCATTCAGGGACCCTCTCCCCCAAACCTGGCTCCCCGTACTTACCCTGGGCACAGGTCTCTTGCAGAACAGGAGAGTGGGCAGGGTTTCTGCACACACCCAGCTAAGTCTTCGGTTCCTATGGCCAAGAGACCTGGGGACCCTATGCACTCCTGCAGCATCGTAGTAGTGCTGTGGGGGCACGAAGGCATGGCACTGGGCAAACAAGCTGCACAGACAGGGGCACATGTCATGCCCTGGCTGGCACCCGGAGGGCCCCAAACTTTTCATCAGCTCCCAAGAAACGCCTTTACTGGTTTATTCTTGGGACCAGCTGGAATAGGGTCAGGCCCAGCACTGTGGAAAGGAAGTGAGAAAGGGGATAGAAGGGGAGGAAGGGTAAGGGCTGAGGCCCCCCATGGAGCTTGTAGGCTCAGAACAGGTGGGTTTGGGGTGACTGCATAGTGCAGCTCCACCTGTGCTAGTCAGACACATGGCTCCAGGAGCGCACCAAGGTCATCAGAGTCAGGCTGGTTCCCTCCAGGTGACCACCGGCCCTTGCTTGCTAGCCCCCCTGACCCTGGGTGTGTCGGCTGCAGGTGCAGGTCAACAAGCAGGCGGTGGCGCTGCCCTACAAGAAGTACGGGCTGCAGGTGTATGAGTCAGGCATCAACTACGTAGTGGACATCCCCGAGCTGGGCGCCCTCATCTCCTACAATGGCCTATCCTTCTCCATCCGGCTGCCCTACCACCGATTTGGCAACAACACCAAGGGCCAGTGTGGTGAGGCCCTGTGCCCATTTCTGGAGAGGGAGGTTGGGTGTGTGTGTGTGCCCACCAGCCCAGCTGTGGCTCTGCTTCTCCACCTGGGGCCACTCAGCCATCATCCCAGGCTTGGGCCCTATGGGAGCCAGGAGGAGTTGGCTGGGACTATCCCGTGCCCTCTACCCTGGCCATCCTAGCACCAGGGTGCCTGGGCTGCAGACAGGGGAGAGGTCTGAGGCTCTGCCGTCTGCACGCTCGGCCCAGGGCCAGCTCAGCAGGCCTCCTTCTGCCGCAGGCACATGCACCAACAACACAGCGGATGACTGCGTGCTGCCCAGTGGGGAGATCATCTCCAACTGCGAGGTCGCAGCCGACCAGTGGGTGGTGAATGACCCCTCCAAGCCACACTGTCCCCACACCAGCCTCACCACCAAGCGCCCGGCTGTCACGACACCAGGAGGCAGCAAGACCACCCTGCCCAAGAACTGTACCGCCTCTTCTCTCTGCCAGCTCATCAAGGACAGGTGCCCTTCCGAGACCTGTCTGCGGTCCTGGCTGCTAGTGAGCTGCAGGACCTCAGGAAGTGCTCTTCCTTCTTTGTGCACCCCCACGCCTGCCATGTCTACAAAGAGATGGCGAGGCAGGGTGCTGAGTTTGGGACTGGGGAGGTGGGAGGCGGAAGGTAGTGGCAGCAGTGTGAGCAGGCACCGGGTCACAGAGGGGCCCGGGACCTGGGCTTCTGGTGTCCACAGGGCTGAACTACCTGGTTAGACAACCCCTGTGCCTCTGCTGACCTCCCAGACCTCTCCTACCTCCAGAGATGGTGCGGGGGTCACAGAGTTTGAAGTCTGGGGTAGACCAGTTGACCCAGGATAGAGCTCTCATTTAGGGCTGGTACTGTGGAGGCAGTTTGTTTGGGTCTGGACAGAGAGGAGGTTGCTCCCAAGCCTGGCAGTTTGCAGAGGTGTGTGGTTGGTTTTAGGCTGGAGGGGAGACCCTGGTGACCATTAAATGTGTAGCTTCCACCTCAGGGAGCGGGCCATGAGGTGCTGCACTCTCTGGCCATGTGCCTGCCTTTTCCTGAGGCCGACCTGGCCCCTCTGCTCCTGCACTGACTGCAGGCCCTCTCTGGCGGGAACACCCTGGTGGAGTTGCTGGATGGTAGGACGTGTGGGAGAGGCCCTCCGGGTGCCAGCCAGGGCATGACCTGTGCCCCTTTCTGTGCAGCTTGTTTGCCCAGTGCCACGCCTTCGTGCCCCCCCAGCACTACTACGATGCCTGTGCATTTGACAGCTGCTTCATGCCTGGCTCTGGCATGGAGTGCGCCAGTCTGCAGACCTACGCGGCCCTCTGCGCCCAGGTGGGCGTCTGCGTTGACTGGCGGAACCACACCCATGGCGCCTGCCGTAAGTGCTGCCTGTCTGCCCCTGCTGGCTGGACTGGGAATCCAGGCTCTGTGCCCAAACCAAAGCTAGACAGGGTGGGTCGGGGCCAGGCAAGCAGGGACAGCTGGTCATGAGGGCTGGGGCTTTGGGATGGGGAAGGACAGACAAGCACACCCTGGCACCCGCACTGCCTCGGGACAGCCCTGGGAGGTCAATGCTCATAGCGCTAGGCAGCCAGCCCCCTCAGCCCATGTGGGGTAGGGTCCTGTGTGGAAGGGGCCACGTGCTCTTCGCTGCTCCCTCGACCCTCTGATTCTCCCTTCCTTCCCACAGCGGTGACATGCCCGTCCCACAGAGAGTACCGGGCTTGCGGCCCAGCAGAAGAGCCCACCTGCAAGTCCAGGTAAGCTGCTTGTGGATTTGCCAGGATGCTGGCTCACCCGTCCAGTCGTGCCCTGGGTGGAACAGTCTGGGTGTGGGAATCCATTGTGCCCACTCCCAACCCTGGTAATCTCCTGAACCCAGCTCCCCTGAGAAGAATGAGACACGCCTGGTAGAAGGCTGCTTCTGTCCCGAGGGCACCATCAACTACGCCCCTGGCTTTGACGTCTGCGTGGAGACGTGTGGTAAGCTGTATATTTGAGGTGCCTCCCTCGGC